CAGCTAGACGCCGTGCCCGTCGAGGCCGTGCCCGTCGAGGCCGTGCCCGTCGAGGCCGTGGTCTACGCTACCTGCACTCACTCCTTCACCTCTCTTGTTTTCTGCTTCAGGTGTTTGACTCGAGATATTTAAACTTCACTGGCTGTAGTTCACGTGCGTTCTGTTTCATACCTACATTCATCTTGTCTCCACAGCATGCCTCCTCTCCTGGCTCTCCTCCACCCGCTCTCTAAGCTCACTGCAGATCACGGTGTCGTCTGCAAACATCGTAGTCCACAGAGACTCCCGCGTGGCGCGTTCTGTCAGCCTGTCAATCACCATTGCAAACACAAGGGGCTCTGAGCAGACCCCTGTTGTAATGCCACCCCCCCTCGAACCCATCTGCCACTCGTACCACACACCTCACTGTCGCTGCTCTCATGTTGTCAGTGCCTCTGTCTCCCTACCATATGCCTGTCCTGCACTAGCTTCAAACACCTCTGCTGTCCTTCGTCCTTATAACGGCCCTCACTTTACTAACGCTCTGCGCATTCTCCACATTCAGACTGGTTGAGATGGGTTCCAGTCCCACCGTGACCCGACCTGAATAAGGCTAACTGTGGATGGATGAGGGAACACTGTAATTGTCATCATACAATCGTTGTTTATAACGTTTAGAGCAATTTCACAGAAAGGTGGCACAAAGTGAAGGCGCTGTGTGACTCCAGCCTTGCTCAGTGGAAAGTGTAGATGCATGAACACACTCGACGAGCATCGCCACGAGCACAGGCCTCTCCAAGTGGACCCACTTCAAAGCGCTCGTGTCCCTTTTTTGTTAATGAACACATACAAATGCAGATTCACGGTGGCATTTGAGCCTAATTTATCAGACGTCTCCAGTCTGCATGTCCCCAGCAGGACTCTGTAGTAAGGATTAAAGGCTATACCATCTGGAAAAGGTCAAACCGCCATCTTTCTCTCCCTTTCCCTCTGTTGATTGCCAGATATGGCCGTTGCCTGTCCTGTGTTAATAGCTTTTTATGCCTCATTTTGCCCAGTGTGAGCTGCTGCGATTCACTGCACTGTGTGTCTGCCGTCACGTAGGGGGCCTTCTCTATTCGGGCAGATCCCTGACAGTCTGTGTGACGTGCTTATGTGATGCCATATCTGTTTCCTCGTCCATACAAACAATAGAAAGTGTCCATACGAGACGTGCTGCGTTTTAATTAGAGCTCTATTTGTTCCGTCTCCTTTTCAGTTGCAGAATACGGTTTATTCACCGTTACGATAAACTGGTGCTGATAGCTTTGACATTTGGCTCGGTGCTTCTTAGTGTTTGCTTAATGATTCGTGTTAACCAGCTCTCTGTCCACACCTGAGCGTGTCTGACATGAGTATTTAGTACAAACTGAGACTTGCTGTGCAGACGTGGTGCTGCTGGGGGTGTTGTTCTGTTTATAACCTGCTGTCACTGACGGTTAGCTTCATGCCATGAGCTGCAGACGGCTATTTTTATATTTGCTGTAAGTGAATTGGATTTAATAGGACGCCAGGATTCACAGGTTTCTCAGCACGAACACATTCCTCATAAAATGGGTTTGAAATGTCTTCAGATCCCCTCGCAGCAGACGGGCTGGTTGGCGGTCTGACTGCTACGTTGTCTTTATCGTGAAATGTCGCGTTTTACAAACTGCCACTTATTGGTTATTCATCACTTAAACTAACAGCAGGGAGTGATGGCATAGAGCTTATTACAGGTAATAACTGTGTAGTGTAGTATCACAAACGCACACATGTGCATGCGAAGCGTGTTCGTGCTAAAGATGAAGGGGGATGGCAGTAGGCGGCTTCGTGTCTGTTGGGCGTGTTTGTACATCTGGCCTGCTCACCGGCCTCAGCTGATGCTTGCTGACAGCTTGACCAAAGAGACATGCGATGTGTGTATGAGCACACGTCAGGTGATCTACACGGTCGGCAGCTTTGTTGTGTGTGTGATGTTGTCTATGGCCGAGCTTCCTAAGTCTGAAGCAGAAACAGAAGTGAGTGCCGGCCAATGAGCCGCACGTGTGCAGGCAGCCCTGATCCAATGATTGCTCTGTAAACGAAGCGGCGAACGTGATCGAGTCACGCTTCATGTAAGAACTGTAGACACGGACCTTTATTGACCGCGTGGCTCATTATAAATGGACTGATTCTTAAATAGTGCTTTAATACAGCGTGCCTCATTCAGCCTTACATACATGAGCACTGCATAGTAGTATTAAGAAGAGGTTCGTGTGTGGATGATTAAAAACTCCATGTTTTAGCAACAGCTTTAGCTTTAAAAATCAGACTTTCTGCCTAAAGTTCAGTCTGCAGGACTCGGGTTAGTACTGGCAATATTCAGTATTGTCGTACTGAAATGAACAATACTTACATCTGTATGCCATCATATATTGCTGCAAAGCAGCAATGTATATCACTGCGTGTATATCATTCAGCACGTTGCCTTCACAGATGCTTCGTTTAGCCACTAATGCAGCCGGTCCCAGCTCCCACATCTTGAAAACATTTGAGAGCCTTGTCTGCAGCTGTCACCTGCTCCTCAAGACACGATATCTGATCCTTCTCCACTCAGTTTTACAGGCTTCTCACATTGCAGTCAATACTCACTGTGTGAATATTGACTGCGCACACACACACGCACACGCACACGCACGCACGCACACACACACACACACACACACACACACACACACACACACACACACACACCTTTCTCACCTCCTGTACCATTAGAGTGGTTGTTTGATGTTCCAGTGTGGCTGTCTTTGTGTCTTTAATCTGCTGCAGACACCTGATGAAAGGTTGATGAGCAGTACACACACACACACAGCCTACAACAATGACTCATCTAGTACTTCACTTCCTGTTCAGCATTGTTTGTGGGCTACAAATGATACGTCTGTATCAGAACATAAGAATGCAGTAACACCTTTTCAAAGGGCGATGACTTTGTCGTTCTTAACAGGATTAAGATTCAAACGTTAAACTTCAGAAAAGTAGTAGAAGTCCTGCACACACCTACTAGCCTGACGTATATGATGAGGACCTGTCTATGGTTTTGTATGTGCACTTTTTGCTACAGTAGCAATGACAGTGCAAAGAGCTGATAA